AGAAAAACTTCTCTCCACAGAACTGGTCCCTGGTGCCCAAAAGGTTGGGGACCTTTGTTTTATATGATCTTTGAACCCCAACTCACCTCCTTCTGACCTATGACCTTACTAAGATGTTTACTCACAACAAAGTAATTTTTTGACACTATACACTATCTTTTTTCTTTCTTAAGTAGTCAGCCTGTACAGCACTTCATATTTGAGTAATAAAAAAATAAATAAATACATGTCCTTAAGGAGCTCAAATGGAGCATTTGTAGCTACAGAGTGCACTAATGCAATCTCAGGAAAAAAGATGCAGCTGTTTTCAAGGGTAACAAATAGATGCTGCATTGGCACTGCTCTGCATTTTGAAAGATCTTTTCTGAATTATTACTGAAATTTTGTAGCTGTGTAAACAGATGTAAGACATCTTTCATGCTGCTCCAAGAACATAAACACCCACTGTTTTATTTTAACTTTGGAGGATTATTTTTGCTTCAATGCTAAAATAATATTAACCATATATCCTATAATTAGGACAACTCAGGCAAGTTTCACAGATAATAGATTATAGCTCACAAATAGAGGCAGAAATGTGAATTGCGTGATCACGGAAAAGCTAAATCATAATTTAGTGTAGCGTGAATGTATAGCAATGAGTCTTCTGAATGCTACTCACTCATGGAAGAAAAAAGGAGATTGGTAGTTTCTGCTTTTCATTTACTGAAGTTTGTCATGTTGTCTAGACTTGGAATTATAGATAATCATAACTGATTTTATATTAATTTACACTTAAGTACTCAAATCATTCATTTTACATCAGGCTCAGTCTTCCATCCCAGACAATATAAAAATCTGTACTAAAACAAAACTTCAGAATTCTTTTTTCTTCCCAGGAGAAGGAAGAGATGTGAATATAAAAATCTGAGGTTCCTTCATGTCAAACTAAATCTGTTTGGGCAGATTAATTTATTAATCACGCTTATAACTTGCCCAGGGCCAGTTCTATACAATTTGGCACTCTAAGCAAAGTCATATAATGGCACTCCCTATAGTTCAGCTCATCTTCTGATTTTGTTAGGAATTTCAAAATGTGTCTTCCTTCCTTCCTTCCTTCCTTCCTTCCTTCCTTCCTTCCTTCCTTCCTTCCTTCCTTCCTTTCTCTTTCTTTCTTTCTTTCTTTCTTTCTTTCTTTCTTTCTTTCTTTCTTTCTTTCTTTCTTTCTTTCTTTCTTTCTTTCTTTCTTTCTTTCTTTCTTTCTTTCTTTCTCTAGTTTTACACATATGATTTCAAGCTCCAGATTTCAACCTCTTATCTCTGTACTCAGACAGGATGAGGGTGAGAGAGGGAGAGAACTGGGATGGGAGAGGGTATTTCCAAGCAGAATTTCCTGCCCGCATCTTGAAATGTTCCATCTATTCATTATAAATTTATGGAGACTCCACTTGGCCTTGCCTAGAACCAGCCCTGGACTTGTTAACCAAAGTTTTTCAGGGGTTAAAGTCAGATTGACATATCAGGCTAAGCCATTTGCCTCTGAATGGCAATCTCAGTCTCTTTTATGTCCTTAATAAAATTTTAGAAAGAGGGAAAGAAAATATTTGCTTTTTTAAAAGTTAAAAGGTAGAATAAGTCTCGGTGACAGAAAGCAGAGAATATTTTTAGTCAAACTTTTTATTTTTAAAAGTTCAAGCAGTCCAACTTTAAGAAGTTAAATTAATGTGACTCTTGCTTTTTGATTGTTTTTCTATTCAAAGTCCTTAAACAAGAGTAAAGAAAGCTTATTCCTTAGTTTTGCTGCTTTTTTTTTTCTACAGATGCTCTCAGTTCAAATTATTTTTAAGCCACAAAGCATGTGGGTGAAGCTTTCCTATGTAGCGGATTGTGGGGTGTACATAATTTGCAGTACATAAATAAGGAAAGCTTATTCCTTAGTTTTGCTGCTTTTTTTTTCTACAGATGCTCTCAGTTCAAATTATTTTTAAGCCACAAAGCATGTGGGTGAAGCTTTCCTATGTAGCGGATTGTGGGGTGTACATAATTTGCAGGGAAGTGCACGTTGAGTACAGCACATAGTAAACACTCAATTTAAGGAGATTGAGGGAAGAGTGGCTGTTAAGGCTGTCTGTTAAATGGCAAATGGAATTTATTTTTGAGCCCCCAAAACCCTTGTACAGCAAAGAAATAACCCCCTTCTTCCAGCAGTATTCCTTACATACTGGCCCAATGCTTCATTTTGAATCCCAAAGACCTACCACAGTTCTTCATTCTTAAAGTGGATGATGAGATGTCACAGGCAGTTGTTATAGTAGACATAAACCATAGAGAGGATTAAAATAAATTAATATTGCAAGCCTGATCCACGTGGTAAGCGTGGAATTATAGATCAATTGTCAATTCTGAGGTAATGGAAGAGGACCTTGAAGTATAGCAAGGATATGTATGAGTAAATCTACCTTCCTACCTAAGCATTTTGTTTAATTACTGCAAGCAAGGGACTGTGAACCTTGGAAAATTGGTTTCAATGACTAAATCATGACTTGATCAACGTATGATACAAGCACAATGACTGAAACCCCATTCCTTGTTTAATTGCTCTGTTTATACCTCCTAAATAGCATTCTGTATAGTAGATAGAGAAATAGAAATAATATTTTCTGAAAAATTATTACTGAAAAAAGGAAATCCCAATATAATCATGAACATTCAGGCTACTTTTAAATACAACAAACAAATCTGAAGTATGCTAAACTGAGGCCCATTAAATTGAGGGATCAATTCAAGAATGGAATCGATTAATTCAGGAATCTTGTGTAATTTAATCTGGATTACTGAGGAGTAATCTTTGAGGAATATTGCTACTGGGGGCTGCACAGAGGAACAGGAGGGGGCGCATGGTTTAAGTGTCTTTTAGGGTTAATTTTTTTTGAGATTTATCAGACATTTAGGCTTAATATATACTTCTGCACTTATTAGTTCATTGGACTGAGGGCTTACTTTTGGATTACATTGTTTACATTAAATGTTTTAAGACAGTTACTTAGTCAAAAAACAAAGAAAAGAAAAAAACAGTTGGAGACAGTCATCATGTTTTATTTTGCAAGGAATAAAATTCCAGTTGCAAACCTGATTTTATCAGAAATGACAAAGGTATTGACATGGGTGTTCCTAGGAAGGAGATAAAAATGTGTCAAACAGCGAGTGCAGCCCTGTGATAAAAGCCTGGTTGCTTTTGTACATGCATGCAATATTGAACATATGTATAAAATGGGCAGGTTTGGATTGTGAAGGTGCCATCTTTCAGATTTAGACAATACTTCCTTCTATCCCCCATGAATGCTCTGGCTGCTGGCTTGTTTTTGTCTCAGGAAGACAGTTGCAGTATTAGAAATTAAAGACTCAGAATTGCATGAACAAAGTAACATTCATGAGGAGACAACTTATTTGTGGCAGTTGAGCCTATGTGCTAGGGCATGTGAGGATCTTGCTGGTGAACAGGTGAGTGGTGTCAGTTTTGACAATGGAGACTGCCTGCTGGACTGTGAAATGTTTGGAATTCTTATTGTGGTGCAGATGTTGCAGCCCTTAGGCAGCTCACAGTTATTTCTTTAAGCAACCGCAGGCTGGCAAGTCTTTTTTGTGCAGAGTCAGTATAAAACCATTGTGCGTGCATGCTTTGCATCTGTTTATAAGTTATTTCCATGCAAAGTTGCCTTAAGGTAAATGGGCCTTTACCTAAAAGGGCCTTTTTATAACAGTATTGGGCTGACAACCTGGAAACCTGGAACCTACAAAATGCAAGGTTGGCTCTGTGTCAGGAGCTTAGTACCAGCTAGTGGAAATTCAAAAGCTTAGCTTTCCAAGTTTCTCAGGGGAAAAATTATCCTGCCTGAGTGCTCCCAATAATTCCAAATGTAAAACATCTTTCCTTCTAGTGGAAACTCTAAATGCACCCAAAGTACATTCTAAATCGCATTTCAAAACCTAGAAGAAGCCTGTTAAAGAAAAAGTATGGCTTATAATCTGACGCTTGCTTACCATGCAACCATGAGGCACAGATTGCTTGGCCCAAGAAATCACAAAATGTTTCATCCACTGTGTCTTACTTTTCATCTCTCTGGTACTTAAAGACTTATTCATCTCTCTGGTACTTAAAGACTTATTCATTTGCAGATCTCTTATATCATGCCATGATGCTGCATTAATGATGACAATTTATTGTGATTATAGTTCATAACTATTCTGAAAGACGGGTCTCAGTTAAGATGGTGCAACATTTTGTGGTTCCTGCCCTCTAGAATATCTAACCCCTTGAGGTGAGATAGGCTCCCACCCTCTTGACCTTTCATAAGAGCCTTAAGACCTGGTTCCGCCAGATGGCTCGGAAAACCCAAAGAGGGAGCTTCATACTGGACGTGGTTGATTAATTCAACTGATTAATTCAACCCTCGCCCACTCCCCTATATGTCTTTGCCATTTTGTGTCCAGATTTTATTTGTTTTTTTTAATCTGTTGTGCTTTTTACAATGGATGGCTTTTAATGTTTTTCAATGTTTCCTATGTTGTAAGCCACCAAGAATTGGTGGATATGAGATAGGTGGCAAGTAAATTTTATAAATAAAGGTTAGAATGCAGTATGGCAGGCTAACTCTACCCACTGCCAGCAGTTCAATCCTGACCAGCTCAAGGTTGACTCAGCCTTCCATCTTTCTGAGTTTGGTAAAATGAGGACCCAGATTGTTCGGGGCAATATGCTGACTCTGTAAACTGCTTAGAGAGGACTCTAAAGCACTGTGAAACAGTGTATAAGTCTAAGTGCTAAGTGCTATATACTGTAAGATGGGTGGCAAATAAATTTTATAAATAAATAAATGAATAAATTTTATAAATAAATAAGTTTTTTGTTACTTATAGAACAAGTGCTGATTTAAATATCAGATTTGCATACCTCAATGTACATGATTGTATGGTATCTTTAGCTATTGCACTTAAACTAAAATGCATCCTTTGTCTCCTAGTTGTTGGCCTTGGAATGGACCCTAGCTTACAGATTGATATTATCAAAGAATTGGATCTTGTCAATATGACTATCGGAGTTACACAGGTGTCTGGACTACATAACACCAGCAAAGCATTTCTCTTTCAAGGTAAAGCAAATACTTATCTAATGTTCAACAGTGAATAATACAACCTCTTCATTCATATAAAACTCTGCTTTTCTTTCTTCTCTTTTTATTTATTTTATTTTTCCATTGGAGATTTTTAGTATCATGGGTCTCATGGGTCTCCACATGGGAACAAAGGGGGTAAGATGTCATCAGGCAAATGCATACGTGTGTGTGTGAAATTATGGGGCAAGTATGTCACTGTGGGACATGCACAATAGTGTCATTATATAAGTGTTACCTTTTTGACATCCTTGTGATTTTCTTTTGGATGTTGAGAGCCATGTATGAATCAGCTAAGAGGTTGCTGCATTCAATAACTTTATTTAAAGATCTTGTTTACCTTTACTTTTACCTTTTTATTGTTGTTTTATTATGTTTTTAACATAGGTAAATCACGGAGTGTCTCTCCATCTTGAGATAAAGATACATTCCTTAAATGCATAAATAAGATTTTTAAACAATGTTATTTAATGCAGCAACCTCTTTGTCAGCTGATTCATAACTAGAGGTTCCTTGGTACATTAATATAGACACTGATGGCTCCATAGGTATTTTTTCAGATTTAGAAAAGAACCAGGTTTTTACCAGCTTCTGGGATGGCAACAGAGAAGAGGCCATCTTTGTTGGAGGAATGGTGGTGGTGTGAGGGACTGTTCCATAGGAGAGCTATACAATAGAGAATACCTGCTATCACCTACATCCCCATCCCACACCATAATTTCCATCCTAACTAGTAATAAATTCTTTAGTAAATTCTCTCTAGCTATAGGAGTAGACAGACAGAAACCATATAAGAAATGTGATCTCTGAAATACCCAGGTCCTGACCTATTTATGCTTACAAACTTACCAATAACCAGTGTAGAACCAGAAAAAGTGTGTACTGTTGCAATATCATGATGGGTCAATAAATTTGCGGGTCTTTTTATTGTGGGCCAGATAAGGTTTCAGAATAATCCTCAGTGCTAGAAGTCTTGTTAAAGCCAATTCCATTAATTCACCGAACAGATGATAATGTCTGAGTGACTGTTCTCACAGTAAGACTACATTAGACACACTAGCTAAAAGGGGCAAAGGGCCCCCTGACCATAATTTTATGTCTCTTTCAAGCCATGAGTCTAGGAGTCTTCCCCTCCCCAACTATAAACCTGCTATTTCAACTTGGTATTGTCTTGGAATGAATAGGCTTCTGATCTAATAGTCATTCTATCTTGTCTGTGTTGTGTTTAACTCTTTTTTCCATCTAGACTCTGACAGCTTTTAGGCACCAAGTCAGTCTTTCTATCATAACTCCTACTGGGTTCAGAGTAGAGATGTACAAGTGAATATCATCAGACTATTGATGATACCTCACCCTAATGATTCATATACAGATGTTATGTAGGGTAGAAGAAAGAATCAATATAATCTATATGCCTGATTTTTCCCACACTCTGGTTGGATTGGCCTCCTCAGATAGGAGAAAAACTGCTGTAAGTCATTGCCATCCGTTCCTAGTCCTTGCAAATAATCCGGAAGGATTCTGAAATTGTGAGAATTGAAGGCTATTGAAAGATCTAGGAACACAAGTTTGGTCAAAGTTCCTCTATCCAAGTCTTGCCACAGGGCAGAGATGTGGTTTCCATCCCATATCTAGCCTAAAACTAAACTGCCATCTGGATGATAACCTATATCATTTGTAATGGGAGCCCTATCACTTTCCTCAACATCTCCCCCCCCTCCCCAAAGGGAAAGGTTGGTGATTGGATGGTAGTTGAGCAATTCCATTGGTTTCAAGCTGAGCTTCTTCTGGAATGAGAAAATTTGGAACTTCTTCCTTCAAATAAAAAGTGATTATTGCCTATATCCAACTCCCAGTTTGCTCCCTGACTGCCTTAATTAGCCAGGTAGGCCACAAATGCTGGAACTAAAATTATAGAGAATTCTACTTCCTCAAAAACCTCCCAGGTAACATCATGCAACAGCAAGATCAAGCCAGTCATTTTAATAGATTCCATCTACTGTATCTAGATTCCAAATCAAAGTGAATGATGACCGACTTTGAACACAAAATTCTCAGTCAAATCATTCCAGTATACACTGTGTTATTTTCACCTGTTCTTCCCTGGCAGGATCCAGGACACACTCAATAGTGCAACTACAGTCGATAGAGGCAATAAGAATGGACAAATAGCTCTGCCTTGCCACCCTGATTGCCACACAGTAGGCTTGAATATGAGCTTGTGTCTGTGTTTCATCTTCTTTGCTTACTGTTTTATGCCTGTATCATCTAGGCATCTCTTAATTTGCTTCATTTCTTAGGGTTCCTGAGAGAACCAAGAGGCTGCTGGGATCACCCAGCAGGAAAGGCTACTCAGATCAGATCTGATAAAAATGTCTTAATTAATTAAATTATATCCAATTTAGTAATATTATATATTATTATAATATAGTATAATATAGCATTATTACAGTATTTCTGTATTATTTCAGTCTATTTATTAACAAAGGTCCCTTGTTGGAAATACATATCAAATAAGACATTGTTTAAAGAAAATAAATAAATAAAAAGGCCTTTTGTTTTTATGGCATGAGTTCTTTGAGTCCACTCTATTCCCTGGACAATGTTATAGGAAATGAGAGTATATTTTTGTTGCACAAAACTAACTTCATTGCAGATTTTCATTCAAGCATGAGATTAAATTTGCATTAAGATCCAGGATTTCTTTTTAGTATGTTGCTCAGCCGACATGTTTTTTTTTTTTGTAAATAAACCTTTCTAGAAATAGATCACATATTTGATAGCCTGATTTTCTGCAGACTCCTGTGACAATTAGAAATAGCCTTGCATTGTGCATTTGGTGGCTCTTAGCTATTCATCTTTTAATCAGAATCATCATGATAATGTATTAAACATTGGATTTTTTTTTTATCAGCAAATGTTATAAAGGACAATATGGCATTCTGTGTTTGGAAGATAAAAAAATGATCGAAGGATCTAGATAGTTCCTAACTATAACTAATGTGCTTTTTGGTGTCAGCATTAGCTCAGTAATTCCATTTTTACTTTCCAGTTAATTTAAAGGGGGCCACCTTATATAAAAATGGTATCTTTGTTTTTCTTGCTCTGTCTAAAGTGACTCTGTTTGCTTTGGAAAATATATTTACCCAAATGTCTTGGTTTCAGTGATGAGATTCAAATATGTGAACAACTGGTTCTCTGTGTGGATGCCACTTCTGGAAGTCCATTCTGGGCCTGGGCAACAAAAAATTAGCTACCGGTTCTGCCGAACTGATGCAAACTGGCTGAATCCTACCATTGCTTGGTTTACATAGTTATGTGGGGGTGTAAGTAAAATATAAATCACTGAGTAATTTTAACCTGCAGTTTAACACAAATATAGTACACTGCAAAAAAGTAAAGAAAGTTGACTGATAATAGTGTTTCTCCTTTCAAAATAATGTGTGGGTTGGAGAATAAGAGTCCCAGATAGCTACTGTTATTGTGTGGATGAAAAAAAGTATGGAATAAAAATATTGACCATTTAGATCAGGGCTTTTCAACCAGTGGTACGGGTACCACCTGTGGTACATTGGCACCTGGCAAGTGGTACGCGACCATCATAGAAAAGTGGTAGGGGGGAAGGGAATGAGCTGAACCGGTGGCAGCACCCCACAAGCCTGAGCAAGAGATGGCTGGAGCTGCAGGGCTGTCAGGGCTCAGCGGAAGCGCCAGGATCAGCACCAGGCTCCAGATGAAGCTCAGTGCTGATCCTGGTGCTTCTGCTGAGCCCTGAAGAAGCACCAATCAGCTGGAAAGCAGCACTGATCCTGGTACCTCTGCTGAGCCCAGAAGAAGCACCGATCAGCTGGAATGTTGCAGCATCTCCAGGGTCTTATGATTTACATTCAGATGCTTGGCAACTGATTCATATTTATGACGGTCACAGTGTCCCAGGGACCAAAACCTGCTGCAACCACCCAGCAGATGGGGGGAATAAAAACCAAACACCCCCCACCCCACCCCTGATGCCAATCCTCAACAGAAATGCTCACAACAATGAAAACCTCGAACAGGAGGAAGAGTGTGGCTGGGCGGGTAGGCAGGTGTCTTGCTCGGCTGTGCCTTGGGGGGCACTTTTTTCAGTGCCATTGTAACTTCGAATAGTCACTAAGTGAACTGTTGTAAGTTGAGGACTACCTGTACTTTATCGCTTTTTTCCTTTTTTTTTGGGTCATCAAGTTTTTGACACGTTGCTAGGCGACTGGTGGTACTCGGATGTTGCCATATCCTAAAAGTGATACAATGGGTGAAAAGGTTGAAAAGCCCTGGCTTATAGGATGGTTGAGACACAACAGTTTTGTAGGTACTACGGTGAGAATGGCAGAGCTTTGGAGGATGAGCTCTAACATCATAAACTGATTCCAGTTTACCAATTCCATGTAATTTGTTTCTGATAGCATGTGCAAAGAAACCACTAGAGCTGGCACCACCAGATGAAAATAGCACCAGTAAAGTTATTAATATCTAGTTAGGATTATGCAATCTTGTTTTTGAGGTGTTGTGTTTTGAGATACCTGGAAAAAATCTGAAGTGGACTATAAACAGATAAATTTGAAGTAACATTATAACCCATAAATACATTATTTCTTTATTTACTTATTCAGTCTTCTTTACCATTCCAGTCAGAATAATCTGTGCATCAATTAAACTTGGACCTCTCTTTCTCAGCCCAACTCACCTCGCATGACTATTGTGGGAAATATAGGAGGATGAAAGTGTGCTGGATATTTTCACTGCCTTGAGTTATTTGTGAAAATAATAAAGACAGGATGCAAAACAATCAATCAATCAATAGGTCAATCAATCAATCAATCAATCAATCAATCTTATAGTTGGCTTTCAGCAATAAAGTTAAACTCATGCAAACTGTAAGGAACAGCAAACACTCACAGTATACTATGCTGTTTCCACTACAGCAGAGAGAGTTCAACATTCTG